TTTAAGTTAGAGATCAGAAGGCAATATTTTACAGTTAGGGTGGCCAAAATCTGGAACCAACTTCCCGGGGAAGTGGTCCTCACCCCTACCTTGGACATGTTCAAGAGGAGGTTGCATGATCACCTGTCTGGGGTCTTGTGACCCCAGCATTCATCCCTGCCTGTGGCAGGGGGTCAGGCTAGATGATCTGATCAGGCCCCTCCTGACCTTAGCTACAATGAAACTATGAAGGGGGTTGACCAAACATAAAGCTCCCCCAGAGAGGCACTTGGAGCCTGGAAGGTGTTTGGGTGCAGTGAGGTGGGTGGCTGAGCACATGAGCACCCCATACTGGCCCGCCACACCCTCAACCTCTTATAAGTCATGTGCTCCAGCCTCCCAGGCATTTCTGTTGCCCTGCTCTGGATACTTCATTCTCCCTTTTCCTTTTTCTCATGGCCCACTCTCCCCAGTACCATCTCTCCCTGGTTCCCTTCTCTTACTTGCATGTTTCCTTCTTGTTCATCCACCGTGTCCCTAAGGTCCTTCTCCTGATCTGACCTTGTCCATCATCCCCTCCCCTTTACCTTCTCCAGGTCCATTGTTTCCACCCACTCCCCTCAGAACAGCAGAGAGTAAACCCCAATTACTACTTCACCTCCAAGCCTGGGTCTCCCCTCCGTGCTCATCTCTTCTGCCAGGAGCTTACTTGTCTCTCTGCCAAACCCAGGTTACACACACACAGGCTGGGTCACCAATGTACTGTTGTCCTAATAAAGAACACACCGCAAATTCAGCTGGACCAGCACAGACAGAGCTGGTGCCTGGTGTGACTGAGTATCCAGGCTGAGTTGGAGCCCAGAGCCACCACGCAGGAAGTGGAGGGGAGGGGACGTTTCACCAGCTCTTTTGTCAGCTTCTGACTAACTCTCATTGCCTAAGAGAGAAATCTAGGCAGGCCCCAGCCCCATCCTCCCTCACAATTCAGCATGAAAGGAAGCAAGTGGGAAAGGTGGAAGAGGAAGTTACCCCATCTTGGTGAATGGGCACAAAACAGGGGAGTTCTGTCTGGATCTGGTAAAATTGATTTTGCTAGACTGAGCCCGGTTTATCAAGGATCCTGATTTGTGTGATTTCCACACTGCCCTTGCCATCAGACTCTTGTTGCTGCCTGGGAATCACCACCATTGACCCACTGCCTGTCCGTCTCCCTGTCGTTCACCTGCTGACAATCTCCACGTCATTCATGGGGTTCTCAACCATGACTGTACATTGGCTTGCATGTCACTGATATAAAGGTTGAAACATGTCAGGGTCAAACTGGGGTTTGCAAAGCCCCACAAGGAGCGGGACCTGTGGATCAGAGAGTTCCTAAGGATGGGGAGGTTTAAGCACCCAGCTGCTGACATGACATGTAAACCTGGGATGAGTGTTGCTTGCCTGGAGCAAGAGGTCCCATGGCTCATCCAGGTCTCTGACCACTACCTAACACTGCCCTCCATGTGAGCCCTAACAATAGTGCCAGGAGTGAACATGACCACACCAGAAGTAACCACAGGGCTTTGGCAGTGATGGGGAAGGGTCCCAGGGTACAGAGGGTGATCTTATCTGTCCTTCTGATAAAGGACAAAGGCCAGGAAGTTTTGCTGAATGTCTCTGGGTATAGATGAAAGAAAAAACAAATAGGAGTGATGTCTGTGGAGGGGCTACCACAGAGCTGCCCAAGCAGCAGAGGGAGGCTTTCTACAGGAGAATGCCAGAGGCTTCCAAAGGACAGGTTGGAAAGGGAACAGGAGAATGTAATCACCCAGGTGTCTGTGGATAAGCACCATGGCAGCATGCAGACAGCCTGGCAGCTTCTGGGAATAGGCTTAGCCTCACACAAATGGAAATAGAACCAGCAGCTCATGGACAGACAGACCTGAGCACCTGCAAACCCCTTGTATGAACAAGCGCTGGGGCGGGGTCCCTACCAGCACTGAGAGTGCTGCTCTACAGTGCCAGGGTCCAGCATGAGCACTCCTACCCATCACACACTAGCGCCTATGCAAGTCCTGAATCATACACCAGGACCTTGCCCAGGACCTGCTCCACCAGGCACCCTGGAATGATCATGAGCTGCTGGGACATAAGAGCAAATGGGAGTGACTCTATAGGACTAGGACAGCTCTGCCATCCATGGGGGCACCACAGTCCTATCTTGTGACACACAGGTCTTGACCTGCACTCTGGAGGCAGGAGGGGAAAGGAGAAGGACAATGCAGATGTCTGGCGGCACTGTCTCTGCACCTCAGCAGTTTTGCTCTGTGCTTTGCTGTCTGGTGTCCCTTGCTTCATGGACTACAGTTGCAGACACAAAATTTCTTGCTAGCTAGGGGCACTTGTGATTGCCTTGTCCACAAATATCATTTTGCAGATTTGTCAGTCTAATGCTTTTCTCTGTGTGATTAACAAACACTGCTGTTTGCCCATGGATAAGGAACATGTTTTAACAGACGATTTTGCTGACATATAGTCAAAACAATCTACACCAGAAACTGAAATGATTAGAGGAAGTTGTATTAGAAATTACCCTTATTTTGCAAGAAGGAGGAGGAGGAGGAGAAGGAAGAAGAAGAAGAAAGCCTTTACCCAAGGTGGTCCATAATATTATCTTGGGACAAAGATATTAATACAAGTAACTTCTCACAAAAGTTTATTTCAGGAAGCGCAATGGATAAATCAAAGAGAGAGGGTGAAGGAAACATGTGAGGGTAGCTGTTCTAGGGTGACTCACGGCATGCAGAACACCACATACAGCACCTGTTGATTTCTCATTAAAATCCCCACGTATGAACTCGTCTCAATTGAACTTCGTGTCCCTCAGCAATGGCCTGTGCCTACACTGGTTTGGGTAAGTTCCCTGTGCAGGACTGGGATGGTCTATTTCTGTACACATATATACTGGAGACAATGCTGGTCACCCCACACCTGCAAATGATGGAATCCATCCTTGGGGGCAACAAGGAAAGAGATGTTTTTCCCACAAAGCACTGCCCTAGAAGGGCTCTTCTCTGGAGGGTGCCAAACAGCCTAGGACATAACTCCACAGCTGTGCATACATGGGCATAACCCCTGGGGGAGCAATGTCAAATACCATTCTGGGGAGAGGTGCCCAGAGACCGAGATGAGTGGCCATATGCCCACAGGTCTGAGGATTGGGCCTCAACACTGGCATCCTCTTCCTGGAAACTGAGCCTTGCCTTGCAACTGCAGGATGAGAGAGAAGTTGCACAGGAGGAGACCCTCTCCTGGTCACAACACAGACACCCTAGATATGAGTGTAGCCCAAGTGTATTCGGGTATGTACTCCCTTCTCCAATTGAAGGGATTGTTAGCTGGCAAGAGTGCTGTGGGTGAAACTACAGGCTGCGCACAGTTTGCCTCCGTCCTTATAGAGTCAGGCCAGGCCAGTCTGAAACTTAATTATATACAAATTTATTAATACAATAGCCATGAGAAAAAATATAAATATATATAAATACAAATACATATACATGAAACATAGAACTATATGCAATATATGTACACTCCTTTACCCTCCTCCACTCAGGATACAGGTGAATAAACCAGAACAAAGGATAACCATCAGGCAGTATTCAACTCTATTAAAATACCAACTCACAACTATAAAATGTAAATATATAAAATATGAGGTGCTGACTCACAAAATATAAGGCATGCCAGCATTAAATTAAACCGAACTTTTTAAACCCCCCAAGCCCAGGTTGGTCCTGGGGCACTGGCTGTTCTCCAGCAACCAGTGGAAAAGGGAAATCCCCCAGCATTTGTAAGGCCTATTGCAACCCAAAGGATGCCTCCAAAGGAAACTCCAGACCTGGGGAGCCTTCCCCTGCCTAGGCTTCCCCTCCAATAAACAGCCTCACCAGGCCAGGGTAACTCCCTCCTCCCCTATGGGAAACGCCTTTCCTGGGTAACTCACAACTCTAGGGTCCTGGGTTGGTGGTCCTTGGCCTTTTGGCCAAGCTGATCCTCACTTGCAGGAGCCTCCTGAGCCTCTGGCTCCTTCTGGGCCGCTTGCCTGCTAGTAATCCCAAGCACTATCGCATGCTCCTGGGGGCTTTGCCTTCTGCTCAGGGTTGGGGGCCCAGACCACCTTGTGCAGATCTGGGGCCTGGTCCCTCTGGGACCCGCCATGCAGTGCCTCCCGCACCAAGGTCCCAGCCTCATGCTGGGGCTGAGGACCCAAGCCGCCTTGATCGACTCCCAGGGTCTTTCACTCTCCATGCAAAGCCCAGGCACCAAAAAGCCTAGCCAGCCGCTTGCCGGGGTTATGCATCCAAGCTGCCCTGTGCAGTTTCCAGGATCCTGGTCCACTCCTGGACCACGCCATGAACCATCTGCACACCGTCTATCTGGCCACACGCCAGAGGCTGCAGTCCCGAACTGCCACGTGCAAGTCCTGGAGTCTGGCTCCATGCATCGGCCCACACACCAAGAGCCTGGCCTCACGCCATGGGTTGCAGACCTGAGCTGCCCCGTGCGGTTCCCAGTGTCCTACTCTGTACACCAAGCTGTGTACTGTTTGCCATGCTCCTCAGCGGCAGGGCTGGGGAACACAGCTATTCGCTGCTCCCATCCGGAGAAGGAGTCTTTGGGCTCTTTAGGCCTGAGCTCCGCCTTGCTGGCCAGCTCACACCAGCTCTTCCTTCGCCCTCTCTCTTCATCCCTTGCCACTGTAGTCCATGTGCCAGGCACGCTGCGCTTTTATTCCCTCCAGAGTCTCCACCCCTGGATTACAAATGGACCAATCAGGTTGAAGCGAGGTGCAGGCTTCAACCAGGTCCAGGTTCTTCACTACGACCTGGGTAGGGGCAGGACAAGGCCCTCCCCAGCGAGTGCCTGATTGATAGAAGGGTCCCACCAATCACGACAAGTATTCTTTGAGCCCGGATGCACCGGGCTGCTATTGGTAAGTATGCCACATGAGCTTGATGCTCCTGATGTAATCTTTTTTATGTAATCTTTTTTATGGTATATCTAGCTTTTGCAAACTATATCTAACTGAATACTTAAGGCAACTTACTGATGCTGGGAGGGGTGTGGCATGTGTGTGTTAAGAGATGCTTGCAGAGCACAGTGTGTGGGATGCGGAGGATTCCTGGAATGCCTCCCTAACACCAGCAGAATAGTGTCTCCCTGACACTTGTAAGATAGCAAGAAGTTCAGAAAAAGGTCTCATTATAATGCTAAAAATCACACCCCTGGGCAGGGCAAAAGTATGTTAATGAAACATATATGTATGTAAATGAATTACATGGCTAAAACATAGGTATAGAGACATGCTCAGTAGAGAACGTCTTATGTCAGTGGCTTGTAACCAATCACTGAGCGATACACTTGCAAACATATGTATAAAAGGTACCCAAAGGTAGAAACCGGTGGTGCTTGCTTTGCAAACGATTGCCAAGCACCCCTCTCTGCGCAGACTGGAAACAATAAAGATTAAGTTGGATCCTCCACCCCTGTGTGTTCATTGGCAATAGCGCACCGGGCACGAACTCCCACTGTCCGTTGGGGACAACAATTTGGCGACCACGAAGGGACTCTATTGCCCGCCTTGCCCGGTCCACCTCCTCGGCTCCGGCAACACCTGTGGACGGCGCGAGGGCCAGGCGCCACCGGCCTTTTTCGTCGGAG